GGCGGGAATCGAACTCATGCGGAAGCGGCTTTAGATTCTCAGTGCTGTGCTTTAACCCGCTGCGCCACCAGGGAGGGCCCTAAACGTACTTTTTAAAAGACGGATGATTTGAATGTTTACAGCACCTGACTTGTAAAAAAAAAAAAAAAGGACACATGGGTGGAGGGTCCTCTCCCATGGCTTAGGTGTTAAATCTCAAGCGCTATCAGTGAAGCTGCCTAATTTCAATCCCCGGCCAGGGAGCTGCCCACATGGCATGGCAGACCTCTCCTGTCTCTCCCGCTGCTCCCCTCAGCAGTGTCTTTCAGAAAATCCGCCTGTTCTTCTCCCCTCCCTGTCACTGGTGAATCTTGTTCCCCACACCTCTGGCCTATACTCCAGCTCTTCAATGCATAAATAAATACATCTTTTTTTTTAAAAGAAGACCAGTTTGGAAAAATATATACTTTTAAGTGATGGAGTAAGGCTATTTTATAAGTTACCTTGCAAATCCTTCAAACGACATTAGCCCATGGTGACACATACTAACACTGGGCTCGAACTTCTGCAAAGGATACAAAGAGTGTTATTTAGGTAAAAGGAACTGAGGGGGAAAAACATATCATTTTTTAAAGCTGTTCTTTTTCATCAGGAAATGTCTAAACCAAATATTTGAACAAATTTAGCTACACACTGGTAAGATGTAGCGTTTTAGTACAAAAGAAAATATTTATTTTAAGTGAGCTTGTTACATGAAGTGTACTTAAGAGAAAATGAACATTAAGAGAAAAGACTAAGGCTAATTTACATGGAAACAAACCATCAGCTTATCTGGGTATATGGGAAGGACAGTTACCACAGAGTTGGTGGAAGTGAAAGGAGCTCTCCACACAGTGCCTGCACTCAATGCTATTGCAGTGAGGGTCCAATCACATGACAGCAATATTTTTTCAGAATTTCCAGTGGTCAGATTCAACTGTTTTGCAGCTAGCCCATGAATTCCCAATCAGCTGACAAGGGAGGTTGACAACCCAGACTAATTCTGCCACATGTGACGTTGTCCCAAGGAACCCTCTCACCCTCCCCTCCATCATCCTCTACCTGAAGTCATCACCACCTCTTGCCTGGCTTACTGTGACAGCTTCCTACCTGACCTGTTTCCACTCCTTCGCAAGAACAGTTTATTCTCCACTGCATCCAGAATGTCTTTTTAAAATCATAAATCATGTTAGCCACTTGCTCAAACATTTCAATCACTTTCCTTTTCCTGAGGACTAAGGCAAAACTCCTCAGGACCTAAATGTCTCTGTGATTCTGCCCATGGCCACCTGTCTGAAACCATGCCTACCTTTGTGTCCATTCCTTACATGGCTCCTATTACACCAGCCCTTTCTGACATCCTCAAAAACCTGAGCTCATTCCTGCCTTGTCTTTGACCTTACTGCTCCCTGTCTGGGACACTCTACTCTCAGCCCTCAGTCACGTGGCTTCTTCATCCAGGGCTCCATCCAAGTGTCACCTCCTCAAAGTAGCCTTTGTTTACTCCTAGACACCCTGCATCACTCATTCTCTTACTCTGCTTGAATTTTTTCAGAGCCCATTCCCATCTGAATTTATACTATATCTCTGTTTATTGTCTGCCTCACACACCAGAGTCAAAACTGGATCTTATTACTATCATAGTCCCAGTTTGTGAAGGAGTGCAAGGCCTGTAGTCAAAGCTAATAAATGTTAGTGAAGTGACTAAGGAGGTTGAAAACTTAGATGAACTTAGTTGTATCTGCTAGAACAAGAAGTACAGATTCCTCATAATAGTTAGTGAGTGAGAGAAGGCTTGGACTTATGTTAATTGTATGTTAAATAAGAACACATACTTGGTATTAAAAAAATCCTCTTTATCTCTGCTCTAGGCTTGAAGATTTGAGAAAGAAGTAGGAAGAGTAAACTCTACCTGGAAATAATTAGAATAGCCAGAGGTTTCACACATACAAACCTGGATGATGCTGAGGATCTCATCATAAGTCAAGTGTTCTCCTTGGCAATTCACGAGGAAGTCATTGAGCTGGAGTATGCCAACCCCAAAGATGCCCAGAGACGTACTTTCTACCCCGGTGCCATTTGTCACGATACTTGCAGCAGCAATGGCATCAGATATCTGCCTCTGGTTGTCTGACAGCTGCTGCTTACTCTTAATGAACAAGCCCAAATCTGAGACATTTCTGGTCAACAAATCTGAAACAGAACCCACAGATCACAGACAAGCCAATCAGCATCTTTCATGAAGTTCATATGGAGATAATGGTGTACAGAATGATGCTGGAGTAAGTCTTCACTAATCTGTCTGAAGAAGTCATCCAACTCAGTGCTTATGCCTATATTCACATAGCTGAAGGATTTAAAAAATGAACCAATGAGTAAATAAATAAAAGAGAGCTAGGCTTATGATCATGAACACCCATGAACTTTGATATTACACGGGAGCTTTGATATTGCATGTATACATTTATACAAAATAAATATATGCTTAACTGGGGACCTGAGGCTAAATTTGGATTTTGGTTTTGGATAATAACTACTGTTACATTTTTATCTTTGCGGAGTCTAAAGTATACCCTTAAATTTACGGCTTATCTGTATTTTAGAAGTGTAACCGTAAACATTTGTGGGCATGTTTCTGTGTGATCATAAGTTTTCAGCTCATTTGGGTAAATGCCAGAATGCAATTGCTAGATCATATGGTGAGAGTATGCTTAGTTTTGTAAGAAACTGCCAAACTCTCTTCCAGACTGACAACACCATTTTATATGCCCACCTGCAAGACTTGAGTTGCTCCACATTTCCATGAACTTGGTGTGGTCAGTTGTTGAATTCTGGCCTCTTTGTAAAATAACCTTGCAGTTTCTTACAGAGCTACACACAAACTTACTATATAATCCAGAAATTGTGTTCCCTGGTGTTTACCCAAATGAGTTGAAAACTTATGTCCACAAAAACCCTGCACGCATTTACAGCAATTGTATTCATAATTGCTAAAATTGAAAAACCAAGGTGTCCTTCAATAGAATAGATATATTGTGGAATATCCATACAATTGAATACTATTCAGTGATAAAAAGAAAGGTGCTATCAAAGTCATAAGAGGCAGGAAGGAACCTTAAGTATGTGTTGCCAAGTGAAAGAAGCCACTGCAAAAAGGCTATCTACTCTATGAGTCCAACAATAAGACATTCTGGAAAAGACAAGATTATGAAACAGTAAAAAGATCAGCAGTTGTCAGTGATTCAGAGGGAAGATGGAAGGAATGAAAAGTGGAGCATAGGACATTTTTAGGGCCAACCTGAATTCTATAGGTCTTAAGCCTCTGCTGATCTTTCTTTTTCTAAATTTCTTTTATTTTTGCATAAAATAAAACTGGGGTGTAGGCCAGAAGTGTGGAGAATGAGAGGATTCACCAGAGACAGAGAGGGGAGCAGAATACATGAATTCATTGAAATACACAGCTGAGGGGAGCAGCAAGCAAGACAGGAGATGTCTGCTGTGCCACACGGGTCAACTCCCTGGCCAGGATCAAGCTCAGGCTGTAAATGTAATAGTGCTGAGATTTAACCCCTGGGCACCAGGGAGGCCCCTAACCTTTGCTTCTAGACAGAAAGGACTCAATGGAAAATATCGTTACACAAACCGAGGTCAGGCTGAAGGCCACTGGTATTCTCGTCGATGGTCAGGTTGGTGTAGAGAGGGGTTGGCTCGGGGCCAGCTCGGTTGCAGGGCACTGCGTAGATGTCAAAGAGGTCCTTGAGGTCTTTGCGGCTCCTGACGCTGGGTGAGGGATGCAAAACACCTCAGGTTTAGCGTGGTGAGACACATGGCAGGCTGAGAATGGTAAGAAGAAAGCATGCCTTACCTGAATGACTTGAACAGCTCAACAAATTCAACAAAACTCATGTTACTGTCCGAAACCATGAAGCTCTGAAAGCCCTTCATGCCTCCTTTGATCCGCCCGTGCCAGCTGCTGCTGCTCCACGCACTGCAACAAAGACAGGCTTACCAGGCAAGACTGGGCAGTGTGGCTGTCTGCCCCTGAGTGTTCTTGGGTTAGCAACGTGAGCTGAAAGGTGGGTTGCAGGCCATTTAAGGTCCAGGCTATTGTCCATACAAGCCTGTCATTTTTCTCAAAGTCAGTCTATATTGTGTCAGGTGAAGTGCAACATCTTACGCACTGAAACCATTTCATGTGTGCAGCCTATTTAATGAGGACACAGCCTGAGGTTCATATTCCTGTCAATCATAAAAGGTCTTTGAGGTCACAGGGTAATGGGAAAGGCAGGTAAAAGACTCTTAAGTTCAGAGTTTTTTAGGCAAAATAAATTTAAAGAGTCCTCAAACCACCCAGTCATAATCTCTGGAGAACTGTGCATGTTATTTCTAAATTATAGAAATATTTAAGAAGGAAGTCTTGAATGTAACAGTGCCTTCTCTTTCCCCATTTTGAACTAGTTCTTAGATGAAAATAGGTGAAGGCTTTTAATGTGAATGGAAAACATGAGTCACAAAACTTTAGGAATGGAAAGTTACCTTTTAGGGTTAGATTTGCACCTGCCCAGGCTGTTGCTACTCAACATAAAGGTATCAGTCACTGGGTCAAAAACTCAGTCTAGCTGACAATATTATAAATTTCTCACACTGGTTCCCTATAAGATAGTAAGAGGAATGTTTTGATTATGGTTTTTACTTAATGAAGAGCATATTTCTTTACATCATTTTTTCAAAGACCGTTTCCATTTATTAGTATAATTTTTTGAATTTTGAAATGCTTCAAATATATTAAGAGAGCATAGGGAATATTGTAATGAACAGCTAGTGCATCCTCAATCAATGCTTATTCATGACAATTATTCTGTGTTGGTATCTGAAGGTCACCTTCATTAAAGGAAGAGTATCCCAAAAGGGTAGATTAGTATTTGGCTGCAGGCATAGGTTGTGGAGCCCCAGTGTGGTATGAGAACAGAAGGTAGAGGGTTCAGGAAGAGGAGAAAGGTCAGAGGAAGAAGCTTTATCGTTCACATTTAGACAAGCATATTCCTCCATTCCTGTCGTCCTTCCTTCCCTCCAGCTTTAGCTACTGTCTATAGACACCATTTTCCCTCTGATTTTAGGAAACTCCCTTCAGTCTTGCTTGAACAGTGTTTTGGGGCTGATTTTTCTTCTCCTGCCTTGTCCTTTCTTCCTGGTTTAGAATGTTTGGTGGACATTGGTGGGGTCCCATGATCTTGTACCCGGCATGGTAGTTTTTTCCTTCCACCCGCTTTGTAAAATTTCCTCTCTTGCTCTAGCCTTCATTTCCCAGCTCATGAACAGTTGCAATAAAGGGGACACCACTTCATCCAAGTTATATAGCTACAACTTTATAAAGTTTAGTTGTATCTGCTGTAGCAGCTGAAAGTAGGTAAAGAATTGATTCTTTGCAATTTTTATTAACTTATTTTATTATTAACAATAAATTTATTACTGAGTTTAAACTTATGGAAAAGTTGCAAGAGTATTTCAAAGAATTCTCATGTACCCTCTACCCATTTTCACAGGTGTACACATCTGAATGTATGAAGCATTCAATTTTGTTCATTATCCACATTATGAAAGAAATGCTCCAGTTTAAAGGTGACTACATAGGGTTCTTACTGAGAGAGAGAGAAGCAATTACAACGTCTCCAAAACCAGTGTCTGCACAGCATCAGCTCCTCCTCTTGCTCTGTGACTAAGTGGAATGCCTGTTTTATCTTGGTTCTGTCTGGAATCTTTGCATTTTTAAAACTTTAATGCAGGCTAGAGGGGATGGGCTTGACATTCTGGTTTTACTGAAAGGCTTCCATTTTAATATTTTTTTCTGAAATGGTAGAGATGTTTCTCACTCTGTAATTTGCATGGATCTTATAAAATGATTTACTATTACTATCAGCCTGAGAAGTATCCAAAACATATCCAACTTGCTCTAATATAGTCATGTCTCCAGACAAATATCTTACATATAAAAAGAGTATTAAACTGTATTTCACTATTAGCTTATGTTAAAACTTAATTTAAATTAGAAAGCAGTGTCATCAAATACTAACTTTTAGTGATGATAGAATTGCTCTCCATCTGCATTGTTCTGTATAGCTGCTTGGAGCTACAGGGAACTTCTAAATGGCTAGTGTGACTGACCAATTGAATTTAGATTTAATTTGCATTTAAAGAGCTATTACATTGGATAGAGCAGATTTGGAGAATACAGCTTGTGCTTTATTTCTGCTACTGATCTTTGAATGGTTGTTTTTTCAAACAATTAGGAGAAAGTAAAAGTAATATGACAAGTAGGAGTATAAAATTAGGAAAACTAGGAACACTTAATATTTATATATATGTGTGTGTGTATAGACACACACACATATACACACACACATATATATATATACACACACACATATATCTTCAACTTAATTGTTAAGTCAAAATTAGAGACAGTTTTTCATAGTGTCCTGGAAGAATATACCCTCCTATACAACATGAATGATGAGAAGGGGCCCCTCTGTTTTATCATGTTAAGGCCCCACCTGGATGGGCTCTTGTTTGAAGACAGCACAGGGGAGGACACTGGCCTGATGGGAGATGATGTCCCGGCAGCCAAGTTAGGGGAGTTAGCCGTGGTCAGAGAGTGGGCTCTTCTGGAAGGGAGAAGGTTAGGAGGACTAGCGATGACATTCACCTCTGTGAGAGTGTAAGACAGAAAAGAGAATGACTTTGATTATACTTCCCCTCAGAAGTCAGATGAAAACCAAAGATGCTTCTGAATGTCTATGCAAGGCAATTTCTTTGCAGGCAATTTCAATACAAGAAGCATTCAAATATTTTGGACAAATAGACTTATGTAAGGGGTTCTTAACTCTGGCTATACCTTAGAATCATCTGGGGAGTGTAAATATATATAGATGTCCAGATCTCTGAATCAGGTAGTCTGGAGCATCCTTGGCTAGAACATTCAGACATTTTCTGGACAAGCTCCAATATTCAGTCAGGGTGGAGAGCACTGGTCTAATCTATCAAGTTGTATCTTGTATAGTTACTATCTCCTGTCAAAACAGCAAGTTAATTACAGGCCTTTCTTCCAAGCACACCAAACTTGCAGAAATACTTCTTGGGTTCCATTATTAGTTAAAAACAAAGCCAAAAATATTATTAATAGGCCCTCCCTGGTGGCGCAGCGGTTAAAACACAGCACTGAGAAGCTAAAGCCACTTCCGCATGAGTTCGATCCCTGCCTGCCCTGGAGGTGACCACATGGCGTGGCAGACCTCTCCTGACCTGCCCGCTGCTCCCCTCAGCAGTGTACTTCGTTGATCTGCCTGTTCTGCTCCCCACTCTGTCTCTGGTGAAGCCTCTCGCCACCCCTGAGCCTCTGGCCTGTACCCTAGTTCTGTATGCACAAATAAATAAATCTTTAAAAAAATATATTAATAAATAGAGTAGTGGTGAGAATGTCCACAGAACTTAAGACCTAATGCCTGTATTTCCCCATAAAATTAAAAATAAATCTCAGATGTGGAATATGCCACTTTTACCTGATTCTTCTTGTTCATTGATGTCTTGAGGGTCAGACCCACTCCGGCTCCGACACTCTTTGTGCGTTTTGGCTTTTCTGGTTGCCATCTCGTCATCAGTTGCCTCTCCGCTCTCACCCTGGGGACACAACACTTAGTTTCTCATTCTGTATTTCTGTCCTATGACTACTTAAGTTCAGGCAGGTCCCTGTCTCCTGAGTGATACTCCTTCAATGCTGCCTCTCCTGGTGAAACCAGCGAAGACCTAGGCGACACCTGGCCATGCATTCACCTTTCTCTGTAGAGCAGCGCAACTCAGAAGAGAGGGCCACCAAGGTGAGCCATACGAATCTCTGAGTAGAGAGCTGTCTGTATGTCTCAATATTCTATGAAGCAGACAAAATTTTATCTAGGCATCAACAGCCTCCCACATGCAAATCATGGGAAATATATTTCCATGTCATAATGATAATGTAATGTGATACATCTGATATATAATAGTGATCATTATATATTTCTAGTGCTTCTACTTTACTTATGATAATGTCCTCAAGGTTCATTCGCACTGTAACACAAGACACGATTTCCTTTTTTTTTTAAGATTGAATAATATTCCATTTTCTTTATTCTTCACCCATGGGTGGACATTTAAGATGCTTCTAGTGATAACGCATCTTAACCTGTGCTCTACATCTAGCATTTTGCTCTCTAAGACCTTCAGCATCTGATTTCTTTCCTTGCTATTCCTTCCTTGCCTACAGCAGAGCCCACATTCCCACTTGATCCCAGAACTGCGTGAGCTTTTTTGAACAAGTCAAATCCTTTTATGTCTCTCGGTTGCCACCTCTGCAAGGGATGCTTTCCTCTATGCTGTGTTTGATAAACTCCTATATATCTTTCAAGATCTGTGTGAATCCTTCACTCCCTCTCAGCTTTATGATTCCTTCTCTCTGCTCCCAAGACACTTACAGGTGACTTGACAATGACACCATGCTGGTTAACATGCCAGTGTCCCTTGATGGATCTCTACTTTTCCTGACTCAGTTCCTACCACTGGGCTTGGTACCCACAAGTAGCTAGTAAACTGTTCTTTCTTTTTCATTTGTTTTATACCATACTTATCACCAACCCAGTGATCTAAAGGAGTTTATGGTGATGCAGACCACAGAATAGTTCTAGATGATTTGGATTGATGCTTAATAAATAATACTTTACTCTCATAAGGATTTTCTTCTTTTTCTTGGTGGTGCTTATGCCCAAGGTGTTGTTTCTCTGCATGTTAGGCTTCTCGGCACTCTTCGCTGATGTCCCAGGGTTGGGGTTCCGAGTACTCCATCGCCTGCCACCAAACAGCTCCACAGCATGAGCCAAAGTCGGGCCTTCATATCGCCCATCATCCTATAAAAGAAACCACATGCCGGAACACGTAAGAGGACAGCAAGCATGGGGAACATATTAATGACTTCTGATAATCTTCCAGAGATGGAATTGCCCTGGCAACCACCAATGTAATATTTATCTGTCCACCCAAGTGGCTTTTTTCTCACTGTCAGGATTTTCTAGTGGATATTTCCTCTGTTGTCTTGGTCAAATCTCTGCTGATATGCTTGATGGGCCACATTCAACTTGACCTATCAACAAATTTTTCTTTCCAAAGAAAGATTATGTTTCAAAAATTATGTTCCAGTGTTAATCATTGTAGAAAAACTCACTAAGATATATACCTTGCAAATTAGGGATGTATACCTTGCAAATTAGGACTTTGGTATGTATGTGTGCATCCATGTAAGTAAAATCAAGTTTTATTTGTTACTGCATCTTTCCAGGAAGATTTTCACCTAGTTTGATGCTTGGGGCAGTCTGAATTGAAATAAGGGGAATTCATTTTGGAGGGCTCTGGGGAGCATCTTAAATAGCCCGCTGTTGTCTTCTAGAATGGTAAATACCTAGGGATAGAGAGCCTGTGGGACTCGAACACCATGTATGTTTTGATGTTGTAAGTTGCAAAAACATAAGTGAGGTAAGGTTAATGGTATATAATAGCTGCTTCTCATAAGGCAACTCAGTGAAAATGCATTTAATAGCAAGTGATTTCTCAATAAAACAACAGTCAACAAATATCCACATAAGTAAGAAAAGCAAGTTAACAAACTACAAACATTTGCATATGAATTAGAGATAACATAGATGATAATCCACAGGTTGTAGAAAAGGATTTCTTTAAAATTAATTTGCATTTACTCTTTTATTTTTCTTCAGACTTTGAAGGTTAGTCCCCTTGGGCAGTTCTAGAGGAATGCTTGTTAAAGATTTTGCTTTGTAGTAGGTAATATACAAATGATGAGGTGTGTGTGTGTGTGTGTGTGCATGCTTGCTCCTTCACCCTAATAGTTGATGACTAACTGTATTTATTTGAGCTGTGACCTCCCACACTCTGCATCCTGTTTTGGATCCCTGGATGCTGAGTAACATGGATACCTGGTGTGGGAAACCTTTCAGTGACCTCTGGGAGTGGATATCTGTGTCTTATGTCTTCCATTAATTCTTTCTCTACTCTTTAACTATACCCCAACTGTATCTTTTTTCTAGTGGATACAGTCTTGGGGAACATCCTCCCTTGATAAATGGCTGTCACAGGATTCAAACAAGCCAATCAGAAGCTCCACCCTGGAAAATGTATCTTGAGTAAAATGATACAGAAAAGGAAAATGGCTGAGACAAATCTGCTGAAAAAAGTCCTGTTAATAAGTTACTGAAACTGACTCCAAAGAGGAATAAACATTTTGTGTTTCACTTTTGTAAATAGGTTTTAACTACCTTATTGACTCTGAAAGAAATTTTGTCAAAGTTGTAGTCATGAATTTTAAGCAATGCATCTTTAAAAAAAAATTAACAGAACCCTTCACTAATATCTAAAACTTTGTCCTGCAAAAGGCAATGTTAGGAGAATTAGAAAACATGCTACAGGTTGGGAGAAACTATTTGGACAAGAAACATCAGATAGAAGACAGTTTATCTAAAATATAAGGGGAAATTTTTAAGCTCAACAATATGGAAACAGACAGCCCAATTGAAAAAATGGGCCAAAGGTGTCTTAACAGAGACCTTGCTGAATTAGATAGACAGTATCAAGTAAGCAGAAGAAAAATGGCTCCCATTATACCTGTGTGAGCAGGGTACTGCAAATTAAAACACTGAGCTATGACTACACACCCACAAGAATGGCCCAGGTTCAGAATATGGGTGCCACCAACTGCTGGTCAGGATGTGCAGCCTCCTCGGGGTGGCAATGCACAGTGGTGCAGACACTCAAGACATTTCAGCAATTTCTTACAAAACTAAATATACTCCTTTCATATGATCCAGCAATCACACTCCTTGTAATCTACCCCAGAGAGTTGAGAATTCATGTCCATACAACAAGCTCCACATGGATGGTGATAGCAACTTTCTTCATTATTGCCAAAATGTCTAAGTAACCAGATGGCCTTCTAGGCAATGGATAAATACGCTTTGCTACAACCTGACAATGGTAGGTATTCAGCACCAAACAGAAATGAGTTATTAAGCCATGAGAAGTCATGGTGAGAGTTTAAATATATATTAGTAAGTGAAAGAAGCTGGTCTGAGAAAACCAAACATTGTTGGATTCCAATTATAAGACATTCTGGAAATGGAAAACTAGGGGCCCAATAACAAGATCAATGGTTGCCAGGGGTGACGGGTCTAGGGTAAGAGGAAGGGATGAGCAGGCAGAGCACAGAGGACGTTTAGGGCAGTGAAAATACAACATACAATATCACAATACTGGGTATATGAGATATATATTTGTACAAAGCCATAGAATGCTCAACACTATCAATAAAAGTAGATTCTATGGTAAACTATGGACTTATGGTGTTGAAGTGTTAATGTAAGTTCATCCTCCATAAAAAGTGTACCATTCTGATAAGGGATGTTGGGAACTCTCTCTACCTTTCTCTCAATTCTACTGTAAACCTAAAAACTGCATACAAAAATAAAATCTTGAATTAAAAAAAAACAAAAAACAAAAAAAACTGGGCCCTCCCTGGTGGCGCAGCGGGTTAAAGCACCGCACTAAGAAGCTTAAGCCACTTCTGCATGAGTTCGATCCTTGCCTGCCCCGGAGGTGACCACGGTGTGGCAGACCTCTCCTGACCTGCCCGCTGCTCCCCTCAGCAGTGTACTTCATCGATATGCCTGTTCTGCTCCCCATTCTGTCCCTGGTGAATCCTCTCACCTTCTGCATTTCTGGCCTGTACCCCAGCTCTGTATGAAGAAATAAATAAATCTTTAAAAAAAAAACAAAAAACCTTACTGACTCCATTACCTGTTAACACATGACTGTTAGCATCACTAGTCTCTAATGTTTTGTTTTGGCTCAATTCAGATCATCCCAGCATGTTAATCCCACCAATAGAAATATTTTGGGCCTGAAAAAGCAGGAGGCTTTTGTTTAACCTTTAAATGAGATTTTCTGGAAACTAAAATGTCATTTTGAATTTTTCTTTGGTTTTCTACAAAATAATAAACTTGTTTAGAATAGGTGAAGAATGTATCTTCTGTTATAATATGGGAGGACTGTGGTTAGAAAGGGCATATTCAGTTTTAGAAAACATTTTTTTTTTTGTGGAAGTTGAGGATTAGAAAACTGATTCTCTCAAAATATCCCTACATTTTAAACTTTCTCTTTTTTTTTTTAAAAAAAGATTTATTTATTTATGCATATAAGAACTGGGGTACAGGCCAGAAATGCTGGGAGGGGTGGTGGTGGTGGTGAGAGGATTCACCAGAGACAAAGTGGGGAACAGAACAGGGAGACTGACTGAAATACACTGCTGAGGGGAGCAGCAGGCAGGTCAGAAGAGGTCTGCTGTGCTGTGTGGATCACCTCCAGAGCCAGGGATTGAACTCATGCTGCAGTAGCTTTAGATAGCTTCATTGTGCTTTGCTTCAACCTGTTGCACCACCAGGGAGGGCCCTGTTTGTTTTTAATGTACCATTACTTTATACCTTGGCTTGTTTTCACAATGTAGGATTCCTCCCCTTAGGTGTGGCCACCCATTCTTTTCCCACCACCAAAGTACTGACAACCTCTTCCCCTGCCTCCTTGGCTTATCTTTGCCGGTATCTTGAGGCCTGTTAAATACACTGATGACATGACCAGTCTCTGAGGAAGATAGCCAGAATCTGTTCGTGCTGCTCACAGCCAAAGACTTTTGCTTGAAAATCCTCTATTTGATTCTTTCAACTTCCCATGTATCTTTCCAAATACCCAGGATTAGGGGTTCTCACCTCTTCCCATGATTATCTGGAGGAAAATCTCATGATACCAATCTTCAATCTATACCCCATGTTAATTTTTCTGCAGTTAATTTTCTTGTATTCCTAGGCTTTGTTAAAAATGTTACTATTTTCGGCCCTCCCTGGTGGCGCAGCGGGTTAAAGCACTGCACTGAGAAGCTAAAAAGCCACTTCCGCATGAGTTCAATTCCCGCCTGCCCGGGAGGAGACCACATGGCGTGGCAGACCTCTCCTGGGCCGCCCGCTGCTCCCCTCAGCAGTGTACTTCGTTGATCTACCTGTTCTGCTCCCCACTCTGTCTCTGGTGAAGCCTCTCACTGCCCCTGAGCCTCTGGCCTGTACCCCAGTTCTGTATGTATAAATAAATAAATCTTTAAAAAAAAAAAAAGTTACTATTTCTGCCCTCTGCTCATCTCAGCAGTGTTTTAAGAACATCTGCCTGCCTATTCTGCTCCCCACCCTCTCTGGTCAGTCCACTAACTCCCCTTCCCCTGAACCTCTGGCCTATACCTCAGTTCTTGAATGCATAAATCAATAATAAAAAAAAAATCTTAAAAAAAAAAGTTACTCTTTCTTCTTGTCTTCTACTTAGACTCCTGTTAAGTTCATTTACATTTAGTACTAAAGTATTTTGGTATTTGAAAATAACTTCACATGCATTTATCACACAAGGGAACTCAGATATGGAAAGATTATTTTTTATATAAGCCCTTTTCAAACTGGGGATGAAAAAGAAAAACACTTAAAGGGGTATTAGCAGAAGTTTGAAAGCACCCAAGACTTCTCATATATATATTTTTACCTTGTCAATACATTTAAATAGTTTTCTTTTGTATTTTAGGTTTGCTCGGGGCCTTAGATGGGCTAAAGTTATTATTCTTAGACACTAAGAGGGGCATGTAGCAGTTAAGCATGATGTTTATTTGATCTTTTGTCCTCTAACTAACAAATTAACATCATTTGATATTATTCCCTAAGACAATTTGGCAACTAGTCTGTGTGGTGAGAAAGACCACAGAGTTTTTTTTAAAAAAGATACCTTGACTGTCAAATCTTAAGAAATCCTATTTCTAAGCTGAGTCGTCCATCTTCTGAGGCGACTGATGAGAACAGCTACTATTCTCAGAAATGACAGGCATTTGGAGCTGTTTTGCTTTTTCACTTGCAACTGTGAGAAGGGAAGGTGCGGCTGTGTTTGTGAGTGTGCTCCAGACCATTTCATCTATCCTCATATCCAGCAGTACCTCTTCCCTCTCCTAATGTGCTGTTGATGGTCGCAAGCTGGGCCCCCTTCAGCAAAAACTGAAGACTGCCACAGCAAGTAAGAAACCAAGTAGACCTTATGTGTTCATTCAGTTACTTACGCTATACATACGGGAAGGAAACAAATGGAGCAAATTAACAACATTGGCTTTGTGCCAGTGACTGTAATTGAGCTCAAAGATTTAGCTTTATGTCCAGGTTAGATGGATTTTCATGACTCTAGAGGGCTGGAACATGATTAAAATTAAAAATCAATATTCATAAGACCTTTCATCCAAGCAGCTAACTGCATTGAATGCTCCCTGTGGAGTGGCTAGGAAGCAGATAACTTGGTTTCCATTGTAGATGAATTAACTAAAATGAGTGAACGTTGTCCTGAACAGCATCAACATGATCATACACACAGACCTATCTGATTTAATTAATTAATCAAGTTAGTTACTCAGGATATGATCTTTATTACAGTACTGCCTGGGTGTGGGGAAAGAAGATGGAATGGCAGTCTATGTGCCTTTACTAACTTCCCAGAGGGAAGGCTGTTCAGTGGTCAGAAATATGTTAGAACTCTGAAAAGCATATTATCAAGACTTCAATTTCCAAAGAACTAGCTAGCCCCCAGTCAGTCCTCAAAGCCTCCAGATTACAATGCTTTCAACTAAAATGTTGAGAAAGTAAAAATGATTCTATGAAGTGGTTACTCTCCAGATATGAGAAGTGAACACCGTCATTGTTCCATATAAAATAGTAATGGGACTGACTGTGAACCAGACACTCTACAAATGAATTTACAATACAGCAGTGCACATATGAGCACAGTAAAACTTCATAGTCACCCTATGGCAGTTATCATTTTATAGAGAAGAAAAGGAGAGGTTCGTAAAAACTGCTCAATATCACTTGGAGAACGACTGACTGAGATGGGAGAATGGGCTCTGGCATCATGGCCACAAGTGTGTTCTTACAAGATTTATGTCTTGAGAATTATGCTTCAGAAGAGGGAAGGCATTACCTGATAGAGGCTGACATACTGTTTCCGCAGCCACTGCTGTCTCTGGTCGGGAAACTTCCTCATCTTTCTCACGGCTCTAGTGAGTTCCAACAATCCACTGAAGAGCATTTTAGCTGTGTGCTTTGGTGCCACAAAGTGCAATAATCTATTGTCCGTGGTCTGAAGTCCATAGAGCAGTGTGACACCAGTCTCTGAGAGGGGCATGCTACCCAGTTTGTTCTGAACACACACGGTGTGTATATCAATGCTAGGGTGTCCCATGTACACAGCCTTCACTGAAAACAGGTCCAAGACCCCCTCTGCTAGGCCACTTAATCCAGCACTGCCTAGTAACGGGAATTTCCCAGGCTCAGATGTGTTACTAAGCACACCGAGTTTTGCTTTAGTACTGGCTGAGGAGGCAGTGGTAGGCTTCGTCCAGGTCAAGGTGCTATTGTCAGGCTGAAGCTGGAGGAAGCAGCGGGCAGAGAGATGTGTGTCCTGGTCATAGTGGATGGCTGTGGCCCCCTGTAGCAGGAACTGATGCACATCAGCTTGGATGGACAGCACATACCATGGGATGAGCTCCGTCCCATGGTCAAAGGCCTTCTGTGGCTCCTCTGACCCATGAGGGTCCCCTTCTTTGGGCTGCTCAAAGATGTCATTTTCAGAATCCAACAAATCTCCAATTATAAACCTGATGGAACGAGATACAAATTTGATCTGTCTTAAAATCAGAAGTGAAAATATTTCAAGACTTTTACTAAAAGTAGACTTCAATTCTCATTCCACTATGAACTCAAAATAGGTAGGAAATATAAAAGTTACAGAACAATTTTAAATAACCGTACTCTAAAACCTTGCATTTAGCAATATGCTAATCTTAGGCATAAGAAAAGGAACAACTAGGTCAGCTACTGTATTTTTTAATATTAACAACAATAATCATTGTGCATTAGTTTTTTTCTGTGTCAGAAACTGCATTAATACTTTGCATAAATTTTTTTTGTACCTAATTTGACCTACTTGTGAAGTAAATTTTCTTGTTTACTTACTTATATACTTATTTACATACAAGGAAACTGAGATTCAGAGGGGTAATTGGTTTTAGGTGACACAATTCAGAAGAAGCTACCAAAGGCAATATTTCAGTCTGGTTCTTTAGCCTATAATCTTCATAACTAGGTTGGTTTGCCTTCTACTTGATCATAAACAACAAGACTTAATGAGCTGGCCTGAAAAGTGTCTCTGCTAAATACAAAATACAAGTAGTTCAAAGATGCCCACTGGGAAATACAGTCATGGTGGCCAGAGTAGCAAGAACAGCTTTCTAGGCTCAGACTTTGATGTTCAGTGTGTGTGTGTGTGTGTGTGTGTGTGTGTGTGTGTGTGTGTGTGTGTGTGCATGGCTGCACGCACACCTGCCCACAAGGGAACTTGTCTCCCTGGAAATTTGGCAACTCAGGAACCTGGATATTGGGGTCAGGAGGACCTCCAGAAAAGGCAACAGGTATGATCAACAGTTCTTATTCCTATTGACAGTTACCTGACTGAGGTATTGGTCGTGTTCCACTGTAAAGTTACCAAAAAGACATCAAACTTCTTTCCACACAGTCCTCTTTGGAAGGAAGTCACTGGGAGCAGTTCACATTTAAGGAGTATGGAGTTATGCCCTGCCTTCTAGAGGTTAGAAAATCTACTTGTTATTTGGAATTATTCTGTTTGTGAGATTTATTTCTTTCTCTCCACTTGTTTATCAGTTACATAGATGGACTCATGGACTTTATTTAATATTTTGGACTATAATCTCATGCTACTATATTTTGCTGCTCAAATGGTTCTGGTTTTGTCCCTCAACTTCTTTCATTTGGTTTTTTTGTCCCATTGCTATAACCCATTATGATGGGATTTTCTCTTCTTTCTTTTCTTCTTTTTTTCTTCCTTCCTCCTTCCCTCCCTCACTCCTCCCTTCCTCTCTCTCTTCCATTTCCTCCCTTCCTCCTTTTCTTTTTACTTTCTGGCACAAGCTGCTCCTGGTTCCTTCTCTATATTTCCTACACCAGCCTTAGAGCCATCCATTTCTCAAAGGAGTTTCACTTTCTTTTATTGAAAAATACTTCAAGAAATCAAGATCTTAGTGCTTGGCTCAAATACATGCTATTTTATGCACTTTTATAATTATTATGTCTCGCCAAAAAAAGTGAAGAAAGAAAATCCTTTGTGTCTAACTTAGATCCATCCCTCTGAAATTAATGAAAAAACAATACTTCCGTCCTCTTATATAACACTATGCCCATGCTTCATACATGTGGCATGGTGGTTTGGAACATACCCTTTAGAGTCACCCTGGACTTATGTGCTGTGTGACCTACTCAAACTGCTTAACCCCTCTGACAATTTTACAGAATAAACATGAAGCTCAAATAATAAATAACTTGAAAGTCTTCAGTACAGTGTCTGACTCAGTAAAGTACACCCCTGACACTGAATGTAGAAGACTGTGCTTTCATCCCTGTCACTCCTTTCCCCCTAGACAAAGTTAGTCCCGCTGTTCCTCTGGAGGGGATTTCTGCAGGGCCACATCCAAGCCCTTTAATCTTTTTATTTCTCTTTTCTGAGACAATGTCCACATTCTCCACATCACATTTTGTTGCTGTTTCTGTTTTAAGAACAAAAAGTATTCAACTAGTGAGCCTCAGTACCCATGAAATACAACATATGTAACATTAGACACAGACCTTCTGATTTTAATTTAGCAAGAGAAAGGGGGTTTCCCATATTCCTTTTCATTTGAGTTCTGAGCTAAATCAAGTAATTTTACAGTGAAAAACTGCAGGCATTCTGAAAAATAGTGTCTGGAAAGAAAAGTGATGAGGCTTTTCTGGAGCCCATTGCTACTGCTCCAAGATGATGTAAGCTGGGAGGACTCTGTCTTTCTTAGCATCTGGTCCTATTTTAGAACACAACATAAGAACTAATACTAGGTGCTATTACTTCCAGTATTACTTCTGGGGACTAATGTCCAAGATAAAAGGGGCACTTGTTTATAATGACATAAATTCATTTCAAGAAGGAAACTAATAGTTTTGCCACTTAGATCATAAAGTGAATTTTATACACTTGTGTACCTGGTTCTCTCAGGAGACAACTTTCTGTGGGTTTACTTGAAGGAATAGGTAGAACTTAAAGGGTTATGAAGGAACCAAGTAACATTAGCCAAAGGTCAAAGAAGTGGCTTACCAGCATTATCAAACTTAGGGCACCTCCATTCTAAAAATATTTTAGGAAATATTTGTTATCTAATTATAACCAAGCTGTCCAAATGCACCAATCCTTCCTAACCTGCAGCATCCTAAAGAGGGTCAATAATACCGTCTGTAAGAACTTTAGTTCTGCTATGACTCAAAACTTTTCTCCACACATCTGTGTGTTCTTAATTTTCACTTTCCAACAGTGGTGCTGCCCGATGCTTCCTTGACTTGCACATACTCACAGAGGCAAAGTCTATTTGTTCTTTATGCTGTTAAATTTAAAAAGTCACTATTAAAGAGTTTATAGGTCATATGAAATGTAATTAGAAAGGTTTTATAATTAGATGCTCCTAATCTATGGGAACAAGAGACAAAAAGAAGCTGAAGTTCCTCCACAATGAAACAAAATGCCTTAGACATCGCAGGAGAAAAGATCTGTCATGCACATGAATCCAAGGCCAGGCTTGAGCCCAGCTCTGCTGATCATGCCCGAGACGAGTGGCTTCACCTAGATGGTCATCACTTCACTGTTCATGAGAAGATGGACGAGTTGGTATTATGATTCCATTGATAATTTGATTCTCTCAACCCTGTTCCTTTCCTCCTGAGGTCTTGAACATTTTATGATTATTTTCCGGGATTTTGAGAAAACCAAAGGAACATGAGATTTTCCCTCTTTCTTTGATGTATTTTTCACAGGCTTGGTGTTGCCTCATGAACAGAAGCTAGAGCTTATTGTCTATAAAGTCTTTCTTTCAGCCAAATCAACAATAAAACATGGTTTATATGAGTTGTAGGATCTGGAAATTCCTTTGTCACACATGACCCTGTGCTGGATATTTTGACGTGGGGATTTGGAGCAGGATATATTCCCAAGTCCTTGCAAATTGTCCTGGAAACAGACTGTGGCGATCTAGTCTCCGTGAATTTTATTAAACACTCTCAGCCCCATCTTGGATGTCCACTGGGACATTTTAGTAATAGTCCCTCAGGGTATGAAAATGATTATTGGTACTGAGGTATAAAGATTTTAATGTGAAGATTTTAGCATGATGTTATAGACTTATAAAACAATTGTTTGCATTATTCTACTTTTTCCCCTTTAGGAGTATTTACAAACAAGTTCTGGAAAATGGGAAGTGGAAGAGAAATACTTTTAGGTTTAGAGGATAAAATGATTAGGAAGGGGGAAGGGAATAAGCAGATAATTGGAAATAAAAATGTCAATAGAAGAAAATGAAAAAAAGAAAAAAAACAAAAAAATTTCATGAGAGGTAATGGGGTGATGCAAGAAATTCATCAATTGAAGGGATACCAGGGAAAAGGAAAGGCAGTAAAGGAGAGTCAGAGGCTAGACCTCTGGGCTTCAATCACAGCAGCATTCCCAACAGTATTTCAGAAAGGTTGACAGTTTATATAACATACACACACACCTCCTGTGAATGTTTTATGAAAAGGCATCACATCAAATTCATTATTTTATTTATTCAGTATCTCTGTTTGTAGGTTAAAAGGAAGGAGTTTTACAGATCTCAGTGTGAGAGCTCTGATTTTTCTGTCAAACACAGTGGCTCTTGGAATGAACTATGACTCTCTCTTTCCTTGGCCATTAGGAATGTTAGAACAAAATTTAGTTACTGTGTAGACTGTATAGTACATATTTATGAATATTCTATTTTTTCCTATACTATTTTTCTAAATATCCTCAATAATTTATATTTATTCTCATAAACATCTGTAAAATCTTTGTGGGATGAGATAAATGTAAACATAGATACGCAGATCCCTATATAAATAGGTAAAGAGAGGTTGACTGAGATTAAGGACATCAACGGGTACCAGATGCTTCTCAGGCAGACCTGTGCTCATTTGGAGATGATCCTCTCTTTTCTATTAGATTGCCACTCCTGTTAGCAAGATGTAGTGAGAAAATGTTCAACTGACCTCTGGTTTGAGGTGAGCCTAACAAGAAAAAGAATTGGTAGAAGATACTTGTGGGACACTGCAGAAAGGACCCAGTTAAACTTTGAACACCTGAGTCCTCTATGGAGCTGGAATGTGAGGTTTGGAGGAAAGCCCAGGGGTTTTGGAGAATCTGGACTATATAAGTTTACCTTCTTAAAACATATTAGCAGTAGGGGATTCAGACACAAATATTCATTTCTGTGTGCATAACTGATTCTAGGGATCTCACTTAACAATTCCAAAGAAGTTATTTTCTGGAAACAATGTAGGCTCACCCATACAGAGATGATCGGGAAAGGCTTTGCAAGACAAAAGCAGTAGTATCTTACAAATGTACACACAGGTCTCAGACAACTTTGAGGTCTAATTCAAGCAGACTGACCACCTGGTTAAGTGTCGAGTGGACCTGTTGTTGTGGATGGGGCTGAAGGATTCCTCTGGCTGGGTCAGGCTTTGTCACTAAGTTAGGTTTGGCCCAGAGTAAATGACTTTGAGGAGATGCCCCAGAACCTCTGATTTCTATACTTTTCATCTGGTTGTTGGTAAACAGGCCAGCTCAGACCACAATGCCTGAGGACAACCAGCTCTATAAAACTGAAAAATTACAAAGCTGCAGCTGTCCGCAGAGTTCACTTTAAAACATTACACAGAGCATTGTTCTGAGCCACCTGGTTTAGAGTCAACTAGAGGTTGGGAACAGGGAAACTGCTAAAAAAAAAACCTGATTTTGGGAGTTTCACTGTAGCTCTAATGCATCAGTACAGTTAATTCAAAGATATGTTAATACTTGCCCCATGTCTCATCAGTGATAACAAAAACCATTTTTATAGAAGCTATGAAATAAAAAAAAATTATGGTTCTAACACTGAAACTGAAATTTTTAGAAATGGCAGATCAACTTTGTTTTTATTTTGTTTTTAAAAGGAGAACAGCAAATAGTTAAATAATTTGCAGTAATTTTAAGACAAAGCAGCCAGAATGGAAAAGTCTAGTTCAGAATTGGTAAAGTCTGAAAATGGCAGGTTGTGAACTAGTGTCTTTCTAAACCAAACTGAAATAGGTAAAAAGAAGAACTAGCCCCCTTGAATTTAAACTGTAAACTTGTGGGTCTGCTAATCCTAAGCAGCCTATTCAGCCTCCATTTTGCTACCTACAGTTCTGTATTCCTAAAGCAAGGTCAGAACTACCAGGTCATAGGAGCCCAACCCTCCAAGGTGACTTTCAAATCAATTAAGAGCATAAGGCTAGAACTCTGGGAAGAGTCTGCATCAAGAGGTATGACCGGGAACTCCAGGGGCTGATGACGGATGCATAAACGTCCTCCTGACTTATACAACACAAGGTATGACCAGGAATACCCGAAGGGGGGCTGGTGCTTTGACTGATGTATAACAAAGGACCTCAGAAGCTGATCAGTGGAATGCCTTATTGATAAGATTGAAATCCAGACTGGGGAGTCAGGGCTTGCTCTACATACCAAGCTATCAGCAGATGAGAAATATAGTTCCACCTTTCCCCTGCTTCTTTTACTCCCTCTCTCCTTTTCTGCTTCCCCATATGACTAATGCTGTAGGACTGGTTTATCAATAAAAAGGCCAGGATCTGGCTCTTGAGCAGCATCATGTAGCTTCCACGACTCCCGGCTCTTTATCAGTGTGGTGCTGCCTGACGCAACAAATGGCACCTGCACAGGGACTTGAACCCTGGACCCTCAGATTAAAAGTATGATGCTCTACCAAACTGAAATAGGAAAAAGGAAGCTCCTTTCTTAAACTGTAAACTTACTGCCATCGGGCTTTGTCCTTCAAGGAATCCTTCCTGGAGCTGCTTCCCTCCCCGGGGCAGTCCTCCTCCTCTGTCTCCAGGCTCCGACTGCAGCTTCTGATGATCTGAAAGATGCTGTTGACGGTGGACTCCTTCTCCGAATTCTTTAAGCCATTTTGTCCCACTCTTTGTAAGAAATTATCTTGTCCACTGTAATCAGCTACAAACTGCAGAAACATACACGGAGAATTTGTATTGCAACTTCATCTAATACCTCTAACTAACCTACTTGGCTTGGGAAGTGAAATCATAATAGTCATAAATAATGGCATTTGTGCTTATTTTATGAGGAAGAAAAAGAACCTCCAGGAAAAACATTTTTTCATTTCACCACATAAAATATCAAAACTCACTCTTGTTTCCACTAAGACAACTTTAATCCCTCTAGGAATCAGTGTTCTACTTTGAATTCAAAACACAAAAAGCAATATTATTCCAAGGTTCCCTGGGGAGATTAGCCACTTTACAGGGTTATTTCATCTTGTAGGGAGAAGTTAGAAAAACCATGACAAACGTATATTATTCTACGGAACCAGTTAAAATTATTGGGACCCAGTGAAAAGAATGAGAAAAGCTGATATTCTCCTTTATTTCCCACATATCCTAATGTGACATGGAGCCTGCCTGGTTTTTAAGCTCTGTTGTCTGGATTCTTGATCAGGAAATTTCTCTTGTCAGAGGGAGGAGCTGAGGTCAGCCTAGAGATGCTGTATTTGGTCTGTGAGAGGCTGGTGTGGGTATAGCCTCAAGACTGACTGTAAGCCATGTTTCCTGCACTGGCACCCCCTTTAACTAAGCCAAAGGGGTGCAAGCAGTAGGTCTGTACCAGCCTGTACCAGCCAGGGCTCTCAAAGCTCTCTGATATCAGTCCTTTGTTCCCAGGAAGAAGCTGAAGTTTAGGAAAGGCTTCCTACTGCTGCTGAGCTATTGAGAAGGAATATGAGTGAGTAAGTGTGTGTGTGTGGGGCAGTGCAGAGGGTGCAGGCTGAGGGAGAAGAATGTGAGAATGTATAAGGTAAGTGATGAGTGCCATCACTTTGGCGAGAACCATCGCAGCTTTAGGTGTGAGACTTCCAGGTATGTGACTTCTCAAAATTTGCCATGAAGTTTCCTCCATGTTAGTCCCTTCTTTCATTTTAAACACCTGATGGGGTGTTTCTTCTCTCCAATGCCCTGAGTCAAAGCTCACAATTTCCTCTCCACTCAGGAACAAGAAGCAATTGATCCGGGAGGAGTGAGGCAGTGATGAGCAGGTGCTGGAGTTCATCTTCAGACGAGGAGCCACTCTCCCATTTCCTCCCACAAAGGATGAGGAAAGGCAGCTTTGACTTGTCCCTGTCTTTTCTCACTCATCTTAGAAAGTTAATACTATCGCTTGACTTCTCTTATCCTCTGCACTCAGAGAGTCCCACCCAAAAGAAAAGTGAATCCCCACCGCCTTTATAAATAAAATCAGAAAGCAACCACCAATTTTGCTTGTACTTATACTTTGTCATATAAAAGCAAACTTAACGGTAAGCCCCAGACAGTAACAGTTGGCATTCTCCTCTCTGGAACTTTGAAGAAGCTACTGTTATACAGCACAGCAGTAGCAGCTGAAGACCCTGGGCTGAGTAAGTGACCTTTTCTCCAGGTAGTGAGGGCCAGCTCAGCAGGCCTTGAGAACTTTGAAAAGCCTCACCTCTAACGTTTCTTCTTGGGAATTGTACCTCGGGCAAAGCTTCATGAGACCAGAGGCCCCATCAAGTACTTCACAGAGCTCCTTCAGAAACACCCCACAGAATGGAACCACTTTACAGCCGGGGATGTGCAGCGCCCGGCTCACCACTTTCTTATACTCGCAAGAAGATTCGTGCTGAGCCATGGCATCCTTCAGGCTCCTCATGGTCTCCAGGTCAGACTGGTCCATGAACTGCCACATTTTTAAAACTTTTCGTGACCTGTTGCAATTAAATATTTTAAAATTTTAATTAAAAATTACATTTTAAAATGTTTATTGAGGTAATGCTGGTTTATATTGTCATTTGTATTTTAGGAATATATGACTCCCCCACAGGATAATATTACTGTATGTGTGTGTGTGTGTGTGTGTGTGTGTAATGAGTGAAGTATCCATTCATTCAATAATGGCACTTAGGCTATTTCCATATCGTAGCTATTGCAAATAATGGAAGGAACATGGGGTACACGGATCTTTTTGAGTTCATGCTTTCATTTTCTTCACATTAATACCCAGACATGGAATTGCTGGGTCCCATGGTAGCTTGAGTTTTCATTTTTTGAGGAACCTCTTTATTGTTTTCCATAGTGGTTGAACCAGTTTGTTCTCACTAACAGTGCATGAGGGTTTCTTTACTCTATATCCTCAGAACTTTCATTATTACTTCTCTTAAATAAAGCTATTCTGACATTTTTTTAAAAAGAAGAGTAACACAAATTATTTGTTGAAAATTTATTTCAAAGAGAACCAAGTCATCTGAAATAGCCTCTATTCTCTCCCAGAATTTTTTCCTTTTTTTGAGCCATGTCTGTTGCATTTCTAAGACTATTTTAAATGCCAGTGACATGCTCATTTGAGTTTATTCTTAGTGAAGAAAGTTCAAAAGGACAAAACATTTCCAACTCTGAGAACTTTCCTCTTCCAACCCTATGTAGGGACCTGGAGAATCAAAGAAAAACTCTTGATTATGTTATGAAGCAAAATCTATTTATAGTGAGAACCTTGTTGGGAAGAATAACAACTATAGCAGGTTCTCTCTATGAACAGTTACTATACACCACATACACACTCTAAACACTTTGAATTATCTCACTGTACCCTTAATGAGATAGGTACATTTTATTATTGTCTCTGTTTTACAGGTAAAGAAAATGAGGCTCAGTAAAGAGAAGTAACTTATACCTATTCCATGGGGCAGGCAGGATTTGATTGCCTATTATTATGACTTGGCAATTCATATACTTTTTCCTCACACACCATGCTGCCTCCCACAAGTCTGAAGGGCAGTAACATTATGCCAGGCAACTGAGGATGCAAGGGAGTAAGGCAGGATAATTTATTGAAAGAATGGGCATCTAATTATTAGTTTGATGGAAAAGACAGAAGAACAGGATATCATAGAGGTTAAGGACATGGGCTCTGAAGTCAAGGTTGACTGTATTCACATCCTAGTCATGTCATATGATCTTAGAGGAATGACTTAGCTTCTTCTACCTTTACTTTACTTTTTAAATATAACATTGAGATAATACCTCCTTCAAAAGACTGTTTTGTGGATTGAAAGATTTAATGTGTAGAGAATGTTTAGCCCAGTGCTTGTCATACAGTAAGTGTTCCATAAAAACGAGAGCTAACATTATGGAATGCTTATTATCAATGTAACCCACTGATATTAAGAGCACTTGGTGGGTGAGATCTTACAATGCTGGAGAAACTCACAAGGCAGGAAGCAGGAGAGATCAGGGATGACGCTGATGGAGCTATGTACGCAGGGGTTCTCGGCTAAGTGCATGGGAATAGACACAGCTGATGAGGATTGTGTCTGGCTCACAGGGCCTGGACTGAGCAATGTCTTTGAGGAACAGGACTCATGGCACTAGCAGAGGGCAGTATGTTTTCTGAAAGTGATCATATCAATTGTCCAGCTGGATCGAGGTGGCCATCTGGCAACTGATTCGGTGTCAATCAGCTGATATTCCCCTCTACCCATACCTGAGGCCGGCCAGGAACTCCATGACAGTGTTGTAGTTGCCCATATTCCAGCAGCATTTGGCCACATGCACCAAGTATGAGAAGACTTCCCGCTTCTCCTCCATGGAACCCGCGGTGAGGATCAGCCACGTCACCCAGGAGCTCACCTGGAAAATGCAGAGAGGGGCATCTACTGAAATGGTGTCCTGGAAGCTTGGTAAGTGTTTTTTTTCACAAGAAGACTATTTTTCTTTTTTCTGTTTTAAAAAGCAATTGAGAAAATGAAGGACCCATTTAAGAAATCTGAGGTGAAGCTCTAACCATCGCCGCTGTGTTCTGGGTTTCTTCACCTTCATCTTTAAAATCAGGAGGCAGAGGGTAATTCAGAATTCCCCTGACCTATAAAATTCCATAGACTGTAAGAAAGTTCGGCCTAAGGATAATATTGATTTAAATATATTTGATGGGTAAGATTAAATATAATCAGTGCAGTTAGCCTATAAATGAATGATAGTTATCAAGTAGTAAATTACATAACATCAGATGAAAAATTACAAATATATATTTGAACTAGGACAAATAAAGTAAATAAAACAAACAAATAAATAAAATAAATTTTAACTAGAACAAATACAGTTCTGTGATGTTACTCTGTTGACTAAATAATGAGAACAAAAAATACATATATGGACAATACAATGTGCCAGGAACTGTCCTAAGCTCTGTATCTGTAAGTGGATTTAGCTCTCACAACAATCTTAAGAGTCATGGACTATTATTGTCTGCATTTTAAGGGATGAGGAAACTGAGGGACAGATGGCCTAAGAGCCGTCCCCTTGGTCCCCTACGAAGGTGGCAAGCCTGAATTTAAACTTGGTTTGTGGCCCAGAGTAGCACCAGTAACCACAGATTACATGTCTAATATGTACACACAATCTTTAATATGCTCATGCTCTGGGCTTAAATGGACTTTAATGTGATTTGATGTTTCTACAACACAGACTATAGTATTTAACAGTAAGCCATTACAAAGTCCCCCTTTATGTATACAGTCTCAAAATCCTCCTTTTAATCTCCTAAGGTTATTTTGCTGCTACCTAAATTTTGTTGCTTGGACACCAGCGTTCATCTGAGCTATTTTCTCTATCTCAGCTTACGTCTGACTGATCAATTGCAAACAAACCAGCGCCTCCATTCTGATGGCTACCAGCCCTCCCCCGCCTCGTGGCCCATAGCTCACTTGGCCCCACAAGAGTGCTGGAACCGGGGGAGCACTCACTTCCCTGGCCTGAGTGAGAGGCAGAGTTCATGGCGACCCATGACCAGTGCAAGGGAAGAGCTCAAGGTTTCCAACATAAATAAAATGATTGGAATGAATGGCATTTAGTGCTGGCAACAACCACAGAGGGCAGTCTGACTTTGTTTTTTCAGATCAAGACTCTATGGCGCGTGGAAGAAGTCATCATTCTGAGGTTAAAACTAGGGTTCCTGGTCAGGTGCTCTTTTACTTGATGACAGGTGACAGATACCTTAGACCTGGCCCCGGGCAGACCATTCTAAGGGCTTAGTAAGAACTGCATCTTTGAAGATGTAAGAAGAGTACCAGAATGGTTAAAGACATGAAAAAAAAAAAAAAAAAACAGAACAGAAGAGACTGGTACTGAACAACTGTTTCCTGTCCCTACACAGAAACAAAGAGGGAAATAGTAGCAACAAGGAATTTTTTCCTTGGTGATAAAACGGTTTTATTCTCTGATACCAGCCAGAAACATGAAGTAATCATATGGCTATTTCCTTCTGAAACTAGCTGACCCAAAGTACAGTCCCATTCTCTGGGCTCTGTGCCTGCGGCTCTGCTTTCTACCTGCTCTGGATTTGCAGGGCCCTGACAACATGTGGAGAACAGATTGGAATGAGACCACAAGACAAGCCCTGGTTCAGACCATCCTGGAAGACATTCAGGTCCTCTTGGGAAGAAGACAACCGCTGATTTGCTTTAGATGAGCCGATGCTACTATGGGACTTCATCACCAAACACTTAGAATCACAAAAGCTGCAACTCTGAGCTGGAAATTCAAACCCCTCTTACAAATAAAATGGTTCTTCAGAGACCTCCCATCCATCAGTTGAGGTTTCTTTCATGGCTTTGTTCCTTTCCTGTTGAAAATGATAGCAAATCAGGGTCTCTGGAAATTCACTGGCCTTCCAGATTATTCTGGCAATAGCAGTGACGTCTTAGTCTAGGGACCTGAAGGGTTAACTCACCACCCCTTGTAGAGGCGTGCTTCATGCAACAGGTGCATATCACTTGGTTTGTGCTTCAATCTTGACCACACATCCAGATTTTATCTCCTATCAGTCAAACCATGCTCCATATACTTTCCCACAACACTAGGAAAAAAATAGCGATACTGTATTTCACATGGAAACCTAATTTAAACCAACTGTTCCATCTCCAAGTGTGAGTCCCAAGGGTCTGGTTGTTGAGATTATGTAAGTACTATTATAAACACACACACACACACACACACCAACATCTGCTTACACAATTCAGGAATAAATCTTATTATGGTCTAACATATTCACAATTTCATAGGTAGTCAGTGATGAAAATGTCATCAATTATGAAAAATAAGTGACACAAGAAAGGAAATAAGGATTTGGTGGAGACGGTAACATGTTACCCAAAGCATAAAACGGGTCATATTTACTAAGTGGAAATAGGATGCGCTATGGATCTAAACGGAATGTGGAACACTGAAATTATACCCAAACCTACAAAAATTATAAATTACCATAACTCAAGTTCAGGGAGCACCCCCAGAACTTAGAGCAGAAAGGTGCTCAATGTGGCGGATTATTCTGCCTATTCCAATGGTCAGCACAGAATGAAGAGAGAATCTGGCCTCCCACCCAATTCTGTCAGAGCCCCTCCCTCCAGCTCTGTGCTCACCCCATGACCCTGGCCTCTTGGTACATGTCCACAACCCTCCACAACTGCTCCTCTCCAAATGTTTTCTTCCTGCCTGGGGGCCGGTCCCCAACACTGCCTTTCTTGCCTTTCCCAACATTCTTAGCTATGATGAGCCTGCTCCCTCTTCGCACATCAAACGTCTTCTAGGCATCATACAAACTGATTTTGCGTCATTCAAAATGAGCCTTCCCTGATCTACCCGTGATCTTTGTAAAGCCAAATCCTTACTTTAGTTCACTAGGCTCTTGTCTGTTCTCAAAGTCACCTCCACTTCTGCTTCCTGCCCCCACTGTTAAAAAAATGAATCAGGTTTTTCCCATTTTAGGGGTCACGTATGATAGTCCCTTCTATGGGAAGGTTTCCCCCATCCCCTGCCTTTTATTTAGCAAACTCCTATCCAATTTTTAGGCAAAACTGCCCTTTGACCCCGAGTCAGGATCCCTACCCTGGGCCCCATGCTTTTCATGGTCCACAGTGTATTTTTCTCTACAGAGTGAGAAGCCTGGGCCGGGGAGTAGGCCTGCCCACTGGCTATATTCTCACTTTCAGATGATTCACCGATGACTCTCAAATTCACTCACCCACCAAAGAGCCTCAAGCCTACTTCTAGGCCTGTAAGGATCTTATGTCTGGATCAGTTCTCCTGAGGTAGAGCATAATTCTAGACCTGAAGGCTGACCCAAAGGTGGTGTGTGTGTGTGTGTTCTGAACCTGAGGTCTGAGGTGTGCACACATCAGCACAGGAGCCAGGACTGAAAGAGAAGGGAGACAGGCAATGGGCTGTGGCCTCCTTTATTCTTAGATGTGGCTTCCCTAAAAGGAAGGGCTTTTTTATTTCCTTTTTTGTGTCACTTATTTTTTCATAATTGATAATTTCATCAATGACTACCTATGAAATTGTGAATATGTTAGGCCATAATAAGATTTATTCCTGAATTCTGTAACTCTTGAGGAGGGCTGCACTGACACTCTATTGGGCTGGGGTGATGTGCTATGAGTATTAAGCAGGGTCCTTATGTCTCCTAACAACCCGCGTATCAGTACTTTGCTCCCAGAAGGTGACACCTGGTATGTGGATGCCACAGCGGTGTCACCATGAGTGCTTAATGAGTTGGAGGCTGAACAGTGAGTGATGTGCCCTCCTCTTGGGAAGCTTTTCTGATGGCCCACCTCGCACCTCACACTCAATTTTTTTCTCTTTCTTTTTTTATTTAACATTGACCCTTACGTTCAAAATTATGTCTGCATTTGGGTTCTCACTGCTGCATTAATTTGCATCTGGTTTATTTTAGTTGTATTTGTGGACCTGACTCTTTCACATGGGTCTGTTCTGTCTCCCCCACCAGACCTCAAGTCCTTAAGGACAGAGACCATGTTTCCCACATCTCCAGTAAGGGATGCTTGGTGCCTCTGACGGACAGGCAGGCCAACCAGAGTCCCAGGAGGCTGTGGGCAGAGAGGATTCCCAGCCTCCAGATGCTCAGGGATTATATTTGGGAAAAGGCCTGAATGCTTCCTACTGTTGTTCCCAGGTCTAGAAAAAAGGAACACATGACTTGCTGCCAAATTTGTTTTTTTTTTTTAAATATACTGAGCAGAAAGCTAGAAAGCAGAAAGCATAGACAGATGATGCTTCTGTAATGGGTATCTGGTCACTCTAACTGCAAAGGCTGGGTTCAGAAGGTGAAATCCGAGGAAGACAATGCCAATCTAGACAGAGATATTTTGAAGGAGTTTATATGCAGTGTCTGTCTGTACCTGCTCTTCATGGAACTTTACATAAAAGAAATAGAGTATGTGGGCATGCACACACAGCATACTGTCAGTCAAACAGACAGACAGACACACCCCTGCCTAGACAACACTCTCAAAATGTAGGAGCACTGGCATCAGAATCTCTGGTGATGAGGGTAGGGTCACTGTTTTTTTTTTTTTTTTTTTAAAGATTTATTTATTTGTGCATACAGAACTGGGGTACAGGCCAGAGGCTCAGGGGCGGCGAGAGGCTTCACCAGAGACAGAGTGGGGAACAGAACAAGCAGATCGACGAAGTACACTGCTGAGGGGAGCAGCGGGAGGGTCAGGAGAGGTCTGCCACGCCATGTGGTCACCTCCGGGGCAGGCGGGAATCAAACTCATGCGGAAGCGGCTTTAGATTCTCAGTGCTGTGCTTCAACCCGCTGCGCCACCAGG